GACATCCAGGAATGGGAACGCACTGCTTTGGCTGAGGAGCCCCAGCCAGAGCAACCAGCCTCTGTAGTGCCTTGAAGCGTCACTGTGACAGAAGAACAGCCCCTCATGAAGGGGTAGGTATGAGTGGTTCCTAGAGCCCCTTTCAGTTTTCACGCCTGTTTTTTCCAGACAGAGCTGTCAGCACCGGAGACAGAAAAAGGAGCTGGATTCTCTTCTGATGAAGAAGGAGGTCCGAGTGCAGAGGCTGCAGTGGGGAATGTGGCCGTTTATTGGCCCCAGAATCGCCAGTCAGAGAAGAACAAAGAAGAGAGGACAGCCAGGAAGAGCAAGCGAGAAAAGAAAGGAGAGGCAGCACAGTTGTTCCCTTTTGAGAAACTGTGATAAGAACAAGCGTTTCTTTGCCGTTTCCAGGTGCAAGAACTACAGTCACAGCAGAAGTACCCTCTGTCAGTTATGGACTTTTCTTCCTGTGCACTGAGTTTCCGGGCTGTCGGGCACCAACCTAATTCAGTATCAAGAGTTTCCTTTGCTGTCATAGGTTCCTCCGTTTACCCTCGGACTTGGGAGAAGCAGGTGTGCAGTTGTAGCTTCTGAGAAGGTCACTTTGTGCTGTTGGGGTTTTCTGTTCTGTCACTCAGCACTGACAATTCTGTTTCCAAGGCATTCTGTTCATTAGTCCCATCTTTTCCCATTTTTCTCCTTCTCGTTTCTTCCTGCTTGCCCGGTCCTAGCGCGTGCAGCTGCTGTTGAACAGCCTGCGCTGAGCTGGCTGCAGGACTACCAGTGCCCTCATCCAGAGCGGTGGTGAGGTAGAGTTCTGGTCTTCCTCTCTTGTCATCACAGAAGGGAAAATCCTTCCTTGGTGCTGTAAAGAAGCATGCGATTGAGCTTTGGAGGAGTGGGAAAATTTACTTCCCAAAGAACACCTGCCTTCTGCAAAAACTCCATTGGCTTTTCAGCCAACCATCTCCCTTCACTTTCAGAAATGTGATGCATCAGGAGGGAGGAGCCCTGCCCTTTGAACCTTGAGGTTAGATATGTTTTCTGAAACAGTGTGAACATATACATCCTTGGTTTAGTTTTATCAAGACCATGGGGGTATGTTCTGGAGCAAAACATGTAAAACTGGCTGTGCGTCATCGTCAGAACCGTAATACACTGCCACCAGCTCTTGTAAACCTTACCCAGTACCTGAGCGCTGAAGAATTGTTACGAAGGGAACATTAAATCTACACAAGCTTTTCCTGCAGTTTTGTACTAGAAATGCTGATCTTCTGCAGTATTTTTATAACTAAATTACACTGACACTGTCCCTTCAGAAAGGGAGGGGAATGCAGTTGAGTTGCTGCTGGACATTGTCACTAAAGAGTGAAATGCAAGAAAATGGCTTAATTATGTTCAAGAAAAAATGTATTTTTGTACTGTATTTGGAGAACAAAATAAATAAAGTACGGGAGAAGGGTAACGTTGTCCTTACACCTCCCCTCCGGCCAGCTGGCAGCAGCTGCTTCCCGGGCAGGACTCTGGCGCAAGGGTAAGAACGCACTGTGGCATTTCCACGAGTCCCCGCTTGTGTCCCTGGGTATCCCCGGGCTGCCTGCTTGTCAGCTGGCTACACGTCAGGGCTCTTGGGGCAGAGTTCTTGGGTTTTGCTACCGAGTTATAAATAAATAAATAATTAGGCAACTGAAGCTGTGGGTTGGGGATAGGCATGAGCTGTGCGTAAGGCATGGGCACAAGACCGAGAACGTCTTACCCTGTGGGTTAGCCATCATACCGGTACGCAGGATGCTCCCCAGGATGAGCGTCAGATGGTGTTGGCAATTTTCCATCTGCTTGGGAAGGAGCTGGCAGCAGCTGTACCAAAGTGATGCTGTACTGCCGACGGGATGCTTGGACAGGCCGCCACAAGGCTAGGGGTGAGCGACAGGCAGCAGGGAGAGCTCTCGTGAGCTAAGCCGGCAGGGATGGAAGAGTAAATATGCCCTAAGGGAGACCAAAGCAGAAAGGGGGGATGGCTGCCAGCTCAGGTTTTGGTAAGGAAGCAGCAGTACTGCTTCGGTTGCTTCTATAGAAATGTTTGCGTACATGCAGCAAAAGCGGGTTGGCCCGCTCGCCTGTCCTGGGAAACGCGAGTCCTTGGCTGTGAAAGTCTGATCTGCACCATTCCTGTGCACACACGGCCATGGGCATATCTGTCGTGGTTTAGCTCCGGCTAGCAAAATACCACGAAGCCGCTCTCACAAATCCCCCTCCCCTCCTCTAGCAGAGGGGGAGAATCGGAGGTAAGAGAAACAAGGAAGCTTGTAAAATTGAGATAAGAGCTATTTACTAATTAAATCTAAATATATACAAATACTACTAAAAGAATTAAAACAATAGAAAATAAAACATATGATACAATATGATACAATCCCTCACCACTCACTGACCCATGCAGAACAGATAGCAAGCAGGGAGAATCAGAACCAGAGAGCTCGAGAGCTGCAGCCCAAGGGCCGCAGCCCAAGCACTACCACAGCAGATTCCAAGCGAACCCTGTCAGCGATAGCAGCCCGGGAAAGCTAAACAAACCCACCAACTCCCTCACGAACGAGCCAGCACAGGAGTTAGCAAAGCAGCTAACGCAGGAGTCACGGTGAGGATTAGCAGGCGTACAGGAGCGAACAAGAGAGTCAGGGAGAGATAGTAATGGCGACCGGACCCCCTCCTCGCCTCTGCCCCCAGCATGACGTACTATGGCATGAAATACTCCCTTGGTCAGTTGGGGTCAGCTGCCTGAACTGTGTGTCCCCTGCACTGTCTGTAGCGAGACAGCGAGAGCTGGGAATGCAGCTGCAGGGTCAGAAGCGGAGAAAGACCTTGAATCTGGTGCAGGCATTGCCCAGTGCCAGCTGAGAACTTATTAGTGCTGCTCCCTGCATCCAGGAACAGCTTCCTAGCAGCCACGGTAAAGAGTTAACTCTTTCCTGACTGAAGCCAGCACAGTGTCACACCGCAATATCTGAAGGTGTTGAATGCCCAGGTTAACCCCCCAGTCTCTAAAATACAAGGTGCTGCATCCAGTGGGGTTGAACCATTGTATCCTTCAAGCAGTCTCACAGAGGCGAGGAAGCAACAACTCCTTAAGGAGTCGGTGATGGGGAGCAAAGCCGCGGCAGGCTGGAGTCAGCCCTACATCATGTGGGATTACACAGACAGGGAGCGGCCATGCTGTGACCGCGAACTTGCTTCCCCACATGGGGAAATACTCGCCGGCTACACAAATCCCAACCGCATGCTTATCTCAACCACCAGGAAACCAGTTCACGTGGAAGCTACAGACTAATCCTCCACGTACCTGGACACCGTTCCTGCAGGTGAAACGTGCCATACTTAGCAAAAAGGAAGCCTACAGACCAACCTTTGCAAAACTGCACTTTATTAAATACACAGGAGCTGAGCACTTCCGTAGAAAACTATCTTCATGGCTAATAAGGTAATGCTGGTTGCCTGGCTGGTGGAACAGCAGGGCAACACCTGTCCTCCCGCTGCGGAGTGCAGTTTTAATGGATGGAGCAAAAGGTGGTGTCAGGGAGGAGCAGGAAGACCGCAATACTGTGGTACGGCTAACACACCTCGGCGCGTGCGTGAGACCGCCCATGCTCCCTGCAACCTTTCACTCCCCACTACCACTTGTACCTGCAGAACCGAGCCGTGGGACGGAGGGGACAACACTCAAATGCCAGACAAATGAAAAGAATTAAGGTAAGTAAGTAATTGCTACTCCTCAAAGCATTTCTAGCTCAGTTCTCCATTTCAACACCATTTGTAACAAATATTTCCTGTTGTGTACGTTCGAGTTAAGGTCTTTTGGTACAGGGAACACGTTTCTCCTGATCGTCATAGCTGGATTGCATAAAGACATTCTTTTTGTACTGAATTATGCATATTTACAGACAAAACACCAACCACCCAGTGTAGCGTGGGGAGGGCACAGACTGTAACTAGGGGCTGGTCTCTGATCTCACGCGCTGCCTACAGCAGAGATATGTGAACGTGAGCCATCACAGCACTACAGCGCCTTCCCCTAACATGATACAAAGCTCAACATTCTGCAACTGAAGTCTGTGGAATCTAATCAGGCAAAAACGTTGTCATTATTTCATTTCATGGAATACGTTCATCGTCCTTAAGTGAAATTCAAGGAAGAAACAGGATACACAGCAAACCAACCCCAATGTTTTAAGTACACATTCAGTTATAAAAGTTAAGTTTCATTGCAAGGCAGCGGGTTTTATTTTTTGAGGTTAGTGACCTCTGAGTGTCCCCTTAAACAAGTGCAATTCCAAGGTACAATTTTGAACCAGTTATGCAGCAGTAGAGCCCACGCTACCATTCGGGATGGTTCACCAAGAACAACTTGAGAGACTTAAAAAAAATCGGGGGAAGTCAATACTTTCTGACAAATCCGCCCTACCTCAGAGCACCTGGCTACTCCTCAGTTCAGGTTACTTTAAAAATCCTCAGTCCAAAAGCACACGTTTTATACAAGTATTGTGTAAAAGTCAACTAAGTTGTGTCCTTCACACCCTTTCCAAAACCCCCCAGCCACAGAAGTCTACGTGACCCAGGAGGACACATAAGCAAGGGCAGCGGAGGGAGGGCTTGTGGGAGGCAGGTACGCACACGTGTTGCCTAAGGATATCTAATCACAGCCCACGTTGCGGAGCTGGCACTCCTCAGTAACCCACAAGGTGCCCCGGCTGCCAGCGAGGGCTTGTCAGCTCCCAGAGCAGGGATCAGTAAGTGGCCAGAGGTACAGATCTGCCTGTTCACTGACTTAGGAGTATGGACACTCCAAAATGCTTTTTCTCCAAAGTCGATGTCATTGACTTCCTACAAACAGCATCCTATAGTCATATTTTTCATGGATAACGTGTACCAACAACCACACTCAAGCCCCCTCCCCAGCTCTTGGTGCCGACTGAAGTGTGATATGCTGTAAGTGTGCTGTGGTAACCGGGACAGAAAGGCACTGGAAAAGTTTCTAACCAGGATTCAGCGGAAAGCCCGACCACCTCCTTCTCACTGCTGCTTCTTCGGCGGAACGCGGGATTTGGCAATCACGATTGGAACTACAGACAGCAACCCGAGCAGCAAAGCCCAGAGGGGGCGGTAGAAGAGCCAGCCAACGGAGATGGTCAGGAGCGAGAGCGAAGTGGCTACGCAGAAGGCAAACGCTTTTAATCCGATGTTAACCAGATCTCGCACGACAGGGAACCAGTCCACTGCAGAAAGAATGAAACAAGCGATAAAGGAGTTGGCAAGAGGCCAGTTTAAAAGGACGTCTCACTCGTTTCTAGGATTTGCAAACTAACTATTGCAACCAAAAGACAGACTCATATTATTTATCAAGATCACTGGATAAGGCATTTCAGCAGAGTATCCTCAAGGCCGTGTGATAATTAAGCAACAGCTAAACATCTGAGACAATGGTGTCCTCATCTCTTCAGACCGGAAGCAATCCAAAATTAAGCCTGAAGTCTTGTCCAAGGCCTGAGAGGCAGAGCAGACTGACAGCCTTGCCGCTACGGAACAAGTCTAGGGCAACCAATAGGGCATGCTAGCACAAAAATTAATTTCTGGGAACAATCAATCTTGCAGTAGCATGTATATGGATATATAATAATTTAAAAAGTCCACAGCTACAGTGCAAATGACAGCTTCCATGTCTGAAGTTTGTACCAGTCTGAGGCACTGTCCTGCATTTCTCTAAGTTTTTATTCCAACATTTTTCTACATTAAAAGGATAAACAAAAACTTCCTTTGCTGTCTGTTCACAGTCGTGTAGAATAACCAGACACAAAGACATGTCACTCTACAGCTACTAGTTACAGCCTGCTGGGAGGAAGACTTGTGTAGGAGTGTAGAAAGTAACTGGATTGCAGCACCTTAAGATCTGAAAGAACCAGCCCAGCTTATGCTTCGGCTTTGGATTCTGGTAAGTGCTGGGCTGAGAACTTCTGACACTGGCAATAGGTATTTGCAATTAGGGTTTTTTTTAATGTTCAAAAAGTAACCATCCAGTTCTGGGATCCTGTTTACCTGCAGCTGCCTGCAGTGACTTTCAGATCAACTCCAATCTGAGTTCAAACCAGATTCCTCCTGACCTCCTAATTAATTAATTGCATATATGAGCAAGAGAGAACCTTCTAGGATCATGATTTTATTTCTAAATCATTTTATCTTTCTGTAAAATACTTACCCAAAGTGTAAAAGATTCGGGTCATTAGGCTGATGCCAACAAACATTGCCAGCCAGCCTGCTGCACGGAGGGCCCAGGTCTTCATGGTGTTGGTCGCATGCTCTTTCTGAAAGACTTCCTGGAAGCAAACACCATTATATGCAGCCTATTTCTCACTTTTTTTTTTCCCCGAGATCCTCTTGATTCCTGTGTCATATGAGCAAATCAGACCTGAAAGCACTTTAGGAATACAAATTCTCTAATAGAAGATACATTGCAGCTCATCCTACCAGGTCTTTTCACGCAGTATCGCAGCCCACTACAATAAATTTGAAGTGCAGCACAAAGGAAAAGAGCATTTTTCTAAATTAAGGCAGCTAAACAAGCACCGTTCGACACACTACAACCACAGGGAGAAAGCACACAGATTTTGCTGCAAATGGATTCATTCAACATGACAGTGGAAAATTAAGACATTAATAAGTAAAGGTAATAAAGGAGGAATGATCCGACTTCACTTTGTTTGGAGGAAGAGAGAAAAGGCAGCAGCTGAAGACAGGGTGTATGAAAGAAAGCAAGCAGCATGCAGGGAAGAAGAGACTAAAGGTATGTGCATATTTCAGCAGGCAAAGCAAAGCAACTATTTGCAGGAATTCTGAGCAAGAGTTTTTCCAGTGTGGGTTGTGTGCCCCTTCGACTCTACAAAAGGTGCTCACGAAGACGGCCGAGAGATAACAAAGCACTTAATGGGAAGAGACATGTACGTACATGTAATCAGCCATGCAAGTACTCTACAAATTACTCATTTGTAATGAGTTAATTTCCAGTGAAGTAAAATTCTACCTAATGAAGATTCAGAGCTCACAGCAGAGCTGATACTACTGCTACTCTCTTCCAACTCAAAAGCCTTTTTAACTGCTTTTGGGAGCTCCTATAATTCTTGACGTGGGATTTTTTGCAGCAGGGCATGAAACAGTCATTAATGGAAACAAACCTACTTAAAAGGAGTAAATGAATCACCAAATTGCTGGAGCATGCAGGATTTATTGGAGCATAATGCTCTGCCTGAAGGTTCTTTCTCAGCCAGAAGGGCAATAAACATCTCAAACAAGCCTAAACTCCCATTACTAGAAGCTGAAGAGAGGATAACTCCTATGGTTTGTTTAATTAAAGCCTGATTTTTATTGTTTTTACATACAACCTTTTCAAAAGCATGTGCTTGCATGTATAAGTGGGAAACTACCAAAGAGCAAATAAAAGCAAAATGAGAAGGCACAGAAGCAGCCTTTAAAGCAAAGGATGTTCAGCAGAAACACAAGGGGATTAAAAAAATATATATATACATATACATACATA